TTAGTTCTCAAATTTTCAACATATTTAGTTACATATATATAATGGCACTGGTTTATCAATTTAAATTTTAAACGTCCGAGAAGAAATTTTTTTGCTAGTCCTGACCAAGGGCGGAGTAAGGATTTCTTCAAAGGATGAGCTAGCCAAATATATTGCCATAAAATGATGTGATCAAATTCTTTTGTCTACATAAAGTTACATAATCGACCTGAAAATGAAAATTTGTAAGTAATAAAACAAACGATTTTATGGCTTTCCACTAATCAATTTCCAACCAACTTAAATATATATAAAAGTAAAGGTTAAAAAATTGGATCATTGACTCCTGATATATGATCCAATTGGAGTTTTACTTGAACTAAAAATATCATTAGTATTGATCCTTGAACTTACCACTATGTAGAGCAATGATTCTTTTGTGTTACTTTGTTACAACTTAGGCTTGTTTTCGCCCTGTGTGGAAGCATCGTTTCAAAAATGGGTTTATCTTTATTCTAGTCCGTCCGTCCATTTTATTATTCTAAATTGGTCACTTTGTCTTCTTCTTTTTTAAGCATATGACTCTTTGGATTGGATCCATATCTCTTGATCAGGTCCCTCTTTTAGTAACACAGTTGATTTGAGGGTCAAGAAAAGAAAATTTGTTGTGGCAAAATCCTTCATAAACATATTTTTTTTCTTCATACCTCTTATTAATTAAATTTGATAGAGAGTAAGGATTCGTATAAAAATTGATGAGCCGAGTAAGCGAACCAAACCAAGTGAAATGAAACCGCAAAAAACTGAGTTGACCAAAACCTGTCAAACCCGGATTGGAAATCGAACCGAACTATGTAAACCGGTTTCTATCTCGATTTTGTGCTTGAGAAAATTTGTCCACACATAATTGGACCAAAATAGGTATGCTAAGAAGACTAAATTTGTAAATTAAAAACATGGAAGTTGACTATTGAATTATTATTTAAGTATATTTTTTATTGGTAGCATAGTATTTAATTTGTAAATTTAGTCTACCCTAAAATCTAGTATCTTTTTATTTTATTTATTTATTTATTTTTCGCTGAGGCCCCAACTCTCTTGGTTCTAACTTATTTCACCAAGCGCAACCCAACTCTCATAGTTCTAACTTTTGCTGTTGCCCTCTGCCTTTTGCCTTGGGGTTTGGGGTTTTGGCTTGGGGTTTAAGGGGAAGTGACATGAATTTAGGAGACTCATCTTATTTCAACAAAACCCAACCCAACCCAACTTTTCTAGTTCTAACTTTCGTGGATCAACAACGCTTGCCGAAATGCTTAACCGGTTAAACAAGTCATTACGTCAAGAGATAAAAAAAGACTGAATAGACAAAATAAAATAGGAACCCCCAAATAACAAAAATATTCAATAAATATAATATTTGTAGGATGATGATTTTTCTCTAATTTCGACTAAATTAGAATGAGTTGATATACTCATCCTATTACAAAATTCCATAATTTCTATCGAAGGTAACCGATATCAATATATACATCGATATTTTCATAAATTTGAATATCAATATTTCTTGCATATATCGATATTTTAAACACTAGGTATATCAAGTCATACAGATTTAGTACAAATTAGAGAAAAATTTCTTTAAAAAGTTCAAAAGTTCAAACTCTGCAATGGGTTTCGACAAAATTTCCATAGTGAATTGGTAAAGATCGTTGGTATTCATTGATTTCCTCTATCTCGCCAATATAGGTGAAGTTTGCATTTCACCCTTCTTTTCGTATCAATTCTTGATTTTTTTAGATATTTCGATGAAAATGTCAACAATTTCGTAGATATTTTAAACATTGGCAAGGATGAACCTGTAATAGTCTCATAACCCTATTGAAAACTCACTATTAGGAATACAATAGGTCTCTGAATCTATCAACATTAGTTGCAATAAAGTCTCCTACAATCAGTGTTCTAAAAATTAGCCCAGGAGGCACCTAGACGCTAAACAGTCGGCTACCGCAGCGTTATACAACTAGTTGGACACAAAATCGGAAACCATATTAGGCAGATACTGTGCTATCCACACACCGCTTTTTACTTCTCACACACTCCTTGTTAGTTTTTGTCCTTTGATCTTCTTCAATTCATTTGATTCGATAGCTGAAAATTAAAAGGGTGTGTGAGAAATAAAAAGAGTTGTGCAATCCACACAACCCAAAAAAAAAAAAAAATCATTTTCTTACTCTTATTATTTTTGGGTAATATTTTATCCTTTTTAAGTCTACTCGATATTGCCACTTAGTACTACGATCTAGTGTTATTCATCTTCACTTGTATGTGAGAAGTCTTAGGTTCGACTCTCGCTAAAAGGCAAATTTGAACCAAATTATTGCTAACTCATTGTGAGGCTTAGCCCAATCCCTTACCCCTTTAGTATAGATAACATCGTTTGTTAAAAAAAAAAAAAGTCCACTCCATATTTTGTATTTAAAACTCTTACACTACACGTGTATCCTTCTTTATAAAAAAAAATAAAAAAAATAAAAAACATGTTATTCAATATTTATCTGTGATTACATAGTAAATTAAATTAAATTATATAATATATAACAAATAAACTTAAACCCGCATAGTCCGCTTAGGCGCCTAGGTTTTAGGCCCTAACTTGCACCTAATTAGTGCCTAGCGTCTTTTAGAACGTTGCCTACAATATTGTTTTTAATCTTTCATATAATCTATTGTTACAAAACTCTACCAACTTAAGTTATAAAATCATATCGAAATAGTGATTATGTTTACCTCAAAATCTTACATTTATTTTAATCCCCAAGGTAGAGTCACACCCTAAATTTGATTCATATATGTTATTTTGAACTCATACCTCTATTTTCTCTTACTATATATTTGTTTCTTTTCACCAGACTTTTCATCTGTCCAATCTTTTTTTCATTAACTACAAGCACTAGTACAAAAAACACTTTGCACAACGTAGGTCCTTCGTTGCGCAAAGTCAAAAACTGTTGTGTAAAATTAATGCAACGAGCCTTCATCGCGCATCAATCGTCGCGCTAAGGCAGTGACAACAGGGTTTGCGTGACGAAGAAGTAACCTACATCGCACAAAATGGGTTTGCGCGACGTAGATCCTGCGTCATGCAAAATCACTTTGTGCGACGTAAGGACTTGTGTCACATCCCGGCCCGGGGTGGATCACTTCCCGGGCCCGCTCTACCACCGTAGCACGATATTGTCCGCTTTGGACTTACCATTCCCTCACGGTTTTGTTTTTGGGAACTTACGAGCAACTTCCCAGTGGGTCACCCATCATGGGATTGCTCTAGCCCCTTTCTCGCTTAACTTCGGAGTTTCTACGGAACCAGAAGCCAGTGAGCTCCCAAAAGGCCTCGTGCTATGTAGAGATGAGAATATACATATAAGGATCACTTTCCTGGACGATGTAGGATGTCACAACTTGCGTCATGCAAAGTGGTTTTACGCAACGTAGGTTACTTCTTCGTCTTGAAAACCCTTGTTTTTTTTTTTTTTTTTTTTTTGGCAAAAATATTTTTTATTTTATTTTTAATAAATATTGTAATTAAATTCTAAACAATAATTAATAAACCAAGAAAAAAAATATTTAATTATAAAATATATGAAAATATACATACAAGATGTTCAAACAAAAAAAATAAAAAATAAAAAACTACAAGAAGTAGTCTTCTATACATCAGGTTATTGGGTATGTGTATCAGCTAGGAGGTCAAAGGTGTGACAAGAAAAATACAAAAACTAAATTACAAAGGTTTCCAGTTGTAGTTTCTCTATCAGCAGATCGACTGTAAGTTTTATAAAATCTTTAACCAAGCAAAAGTTTCGCTAATATCTCTCCCATGGTGGATGTGTCACCTTTATTATCCATCTTCATCCTAGATTCCTGGACTACATCATCTAGCACTACTTCTTTTCCGCAATCTCATAGGCATTTTCATCAACTATACTCTTTTAGCCTGTAAGAGCAGTTCCACCGTGGTCTTTTGCCGAGTGGACTGGCGATGGAATAGGGCCAGATAGCCCAAGCCACTTGCCCCAGCGTGTGCCAGCCTGAGGGAGAGGCCTGGCATGAGTTGCCAGCCTGAAGGCAATGTGACGTAAGGCTGACGTCGGCCACTTTTTTACTGCCGGAAAATGGCCTGCAAGGGCTGGGTTTCTTTGCCAGATTCTGGAAATGGGGAAAAACAGTATGCATGCATGTCAAACCTTAGTAATTTCCAACTAATTTTCACATGCAAAGAGGCATTTAAGTACCTGGAATGGATTCAAACTGGGCAAGGTTTCAGAGAAATTGTAGGGGGTTAAAGCTTTGGTTTCGAACTAGAAAAACACCACAAATCTTATCTCAAGCAACATTAAGACATAATGAAACAACATTTGCATAGAGGACCTCACCTGGGTTCGAGTTTCAGATCTTGAAGCTCTCGGCTTCAATGGTGGTTTACATCATGATGGTCTGATGACGCATGCAATGGTATAGCTCGGATCCTTTAGTCCAGATATTAAGGTTTCATGGTTTTGGAGTTTGATTTGTTTAATTTTCGAAGAGGAATATGGGTGAGAGCTCTCGAAGCTCTAGAGAGAGTGAGAGTGTCTAGAGCTTAGAGAGAGAGAAAGAGAGGAACTTCAGAAAAATAGAGAGAAGTGAGAAAGATGAGTGGAAAGAAAGGGAATGACGTGAGGGAGTGGAGAGTGCACGGGAAATTCCAAGCAAGTTGCAAAAAATACTATTATTTTATTTACCTATTGTCAGGGCTATTCAAGTGTAGAGGTGGAGATGCAAAAGATAATTACTGTTCACGGTGGATTAAATAGTGGATAGCCCTGGGGGACCTTTCCCATGGTGGAATTGCCCTAAAGGACATGACAAGTTATAATCCTACAATTTTCTATTCAAGTTTATGACTCAAACCAATACCATATTATAAAAGCAGGGAAGAAGGGGTGGGGGTTAAACCTGAAAGGTGCTTCTCTCAAATTGGTAAGTATAGGTGAGGTTTCCTCAATCACCTAAACCTTCCTTCCTCCCTAGTCCAACAAGAACAGCTCCATGTTCATACACAAAACACACATACAAATCAACAAAATTGCAAAAACTTCAGACAATCAACTCGAATTACATCACGAAAAACTTCAGCAAGAACACCTCAATAATTGCTATCTCTACCTGCAAACACATAAGCACATGGATCAGATGACTAAAATATACACAAAAGTATGTCTTTACACTTATATTGTTTCCTACCACCTGCATAAAAAGCATATACTTGCAAGTATGAGTCTCTAACATTCCACATGAAAAACTGATGCGACAAGTAGATCAAATTTTCAGCAAATAGATTTATGAGTCTCAACATTTCACAAGTGATATATTTGCGAGTAGATAACTGATATGTTATACAATTTTGCACAAATGTTGGTAACGATGACCGTTAACAAATAGACTAAAAATTTAGAATCCACTAGAAAAATGCGGGGTTTGAAACCATAATGCAAGGCATGCATAAATAATTTCGACAGAAAGACATGAATTGTTGATGATGGCCTCTAACTTTCTCAGAATTATAAGGTTTGTGTTGTGGAGCTTGGGCATGCATTGGTCTCACAATTTGGGTAGAAAAAAAAGAAGAAAAAAGTAGTACATATACGGTTTACGGAATTCCAAATAAGTAGTACATATACATACACATTGTTCCTAAGCTCGAATTCCAAATCCCGTTTACGGAAACTACAAAATTGAGGAAACAGTAAGTGAATCCACCTTGGTTTCACAAGCAGTGACATCATAGCGAAATAGCCTTCTCTGCATGCGATCCTCCCATTTGTACCATGGAGTGGTAAACAATTTTATACCATAATAATTGTTAACTACAAAAGGAAACAAACAAAGCTGGTGATTCTTTCTTCATCTCCTGTATATCAATTTACCTCCCTCAGAAGCAGTGAGTCAAGAAATGCAACGGGAAGCTCTCTTTTCTCATGTCCGAGCAAACCCGTGTCACCTTCATTCACGTTCAGCTTCTTGAAGGCATACAATGGAAGTTTTGCACCTACGCAAACCGAAAACGGTACACAACCCAGTCATAAACATAAAATCATTTTCTTCAAATCCAAAAAAAAAAAGAAAAAAAAAAAAGAAAGAAGCTTCGCTCCAACCCGTCTAGATCGAGTAACTGACAAATGCCCAGATAAGAAATAACGCCCGAACCCGTCGAAAAACACGAAATCAACAAATGAAGCAATTTCTTGACAACATATCACATAGGGAGGTTTGTTTTGCAAAACACCAATTCAAGTACGTAAAAGATAAAGCACAAAAATTCAAAGTCAAAGTGGAGGACATTTAAACAAATACCTGGAATGCAACATTGGTTAAGGCAGTTGCGGCCACAACCCCCGACGCGGCGGGCACCTTCCAAGGCTTCCATTCTTCTCGGCCCAGGTTGGAAACAACCTTGATTCACCTTCCTCGTCCCCAATCTTCCACATGCATACAGAAAATGGAATTAAAATTCGAAATCTAGAATCGATCCAAAAACTGAAAGTTTTTATTTTGAGAAATCACTTACACTAGGGAACAGCCACAAGGAGAGGATCATTTTTACCTCTTGGTTGAGGTCCAATTCCGGCAGACTTTGCCAGAAATTGCCTGGAATACCCACGGTCACTATTTCTTAGATCTGAAATTGAGAAAATTCGGCTATGAATTTGGAGAAACTAACTTGAGGGTTGGAAAGAGGAAGGGAAGAGGATTCTGGAGGTATGACCGAGAGGGAAGAGAGAGGTCTATGGGAAAGAAAGAAAGTTGGGGTCCAAACTTGGAAAATTAAAAAAAAAAAGCGCCTATTTTTCACTATTGCATCGCTAAAATTATCACAGTTGGAGCGATGTAGGTATACAATTTGACGTCGCGTAAAGTAGTTTTGCACAACACCCACATTAAGGTGTCGCGCAGGTATTTTTTTTTCAAAAAAAAATTATTATAAAAATTAATGAAAATGTGACTTTACTCTTTTCAAATTTAATTTTTTTTTTTTTTTTTTTTTTTACATAAACCCCACAATAATATATTTTTCTAACAAAAACCCACAATAATTTTTTTTTTTTAACATATATATTATTCAATTTTTAAGTGCTATAAGTACAAAATAAATAAATTAAAATCTACTTAGTAAATATATATACCATTGAATTTAATGGGAAACACATTCTACGAAACTAATTTTAACGATCCAACCGTCAAACTTGTTTGTATATACTTCAAGATTACATACGTCAAAAATCGCAAAAAAACAAACATTTGGAGATCAAATAACGGGATAAAACTTTTCGATGGATATAAATGAAAAATCATAATTTAACGGTTATTTTAACTCCGATTTTGATGATTTTTTACAGCTACACTCCTTGACCCTATATGAATACAACAAACTAATTCGATCGTCAATTTAAAATATTTACACAAGTGGATACCATAAAATCTTATGTTATACTTAATGAAATATAAATAAACTCTAAGTGCTAGGGAATCTATCATTTTGATGGGATATGCATTCTACGAAACTGATTTCAACTATCCAACCGTCAAACTTGTTTGATATACTTCGAGACTATGCCAAAAATCACAAAAAACAAACATTCAGATATCAAGTAACGGGACAAAACTTTTCGACATTTATAAATGAAAAATCACAATTTAACGGTTATTTTAACTCCGATTTTGATGATTTTTTACAACTACACTCCTTGACCCTATATGAATACAATGAACTAATTCGATCTTCAATTTAATATATTACACTAGTGGATACCACAAAATTTTATGTTATACTTAATAAAAGTATAAATAAACTCTAAATGTTAGGGAATCTATGGTTTTGATGGGATACGCATTCTACGAAACTAATTTTAATGATCCAACCATCAAACTTGTTTGTATATACTTTGAGATTACATACGTAAAAAATCACAAAAAACAAACATTTAGAGATCAAGTAACGGGACAAAACTTTTTGACGGTTATAAACGAAAAATCACAATTTAATAGTTATTTTAACTTCGATTTTGATGATTTTTTACAACTACACTCCTTGACCCTATATGAATACAACGAATTGATTTGATCATCAATTTAAAATATTTACACAAGTGGATACAACAGAATCTTATGTTATACTTAATGAAAGTATAAATAAACTCTAAGTGTTAGAGAATCCATCGTTTTGATGGGATACGCATTCTACAAAACTAATTTCAACGATCTAACCATCAAACTTGTTTGTATATACTTCGAGATTGCATACGCAAAAAATCGCAAAAAACAAACATTTGGAGATCAAGTAACGAGACAACTTTTCGACGGCTATAAACGAAAAATCACGATTTAACGGTTACTTTAACTCCGATTTTGATGATTTTTTCCAACTACACTCCTTGACCCTATATGAATACAATGAACTAATTCAATCTTCAATTTAATATATTTACAATAGTGGATACCACAAAAATTTATGTTATACTTAACGAAAGTATAAATAAACTCTAAATGTTAGGGAATCCATGGTTTTGATGGGATACACATTATATGAAACTAATTTCAACGATCCAGCCGTCAAACTTGTTTGTATATACTTCGAGATTGCATACGCCAAAAATCACAAAAAACAAACATTCAAAGATTAAGTAAAGGGACAAAACTCTTTGACGGTTGTAAATGAAATTTTGATAATTTTTTACAGCTACACTCCTTGACCCTATATGAATACAACGAACTGATTTGATCGTCAATTTAAAATATTTACACAAGTGGATACACAAAAGAAAAAGGCAACGCAAGAACTCCAAAGGAAAAGCAAAAGGAGAGAAAAAAAAAAAAAAACAAAAAACTTTGCACGACGTAGGTGCACATGCGTATAGCTTTGTGCGGCGCAAGTGCACCTATGTCGCGCAAAGTGTTTTTTTTTCCCCTTTTTCTTATGAACTAATTCGATCATTGATTTAAAACATTTACACTAGTGGATACAACAAAATCTTATGTTATACTTAATGAAAGTATATGTAAACTCCAAGTGTTAGTGAATTTATTGTTTTGATGGGATACACATTTTATGAAACTAGTTTCAACGATCTAATCGTCGAACTTGTTTGTATATGCTTCAAGATCGCATACACCAAAAATCACAAAAAACAACCGTTCCGACGGTTATAAACAAAAAAAATCACGATTTAACAGTTATTTTAACTCCGACTTTGATGATTTTTTTTACAGCTACACTCCTTAACCCTATATGAATACAATGAACTAATTTGATTGTCAATTTAAAACATTTACACAAGTGGATACCACAAAAGAAAAAGGCAATGCAAGAACCCCAAAAGAAAAGCAAAAGGGCAAAAAAAAAAAAAATGTTGTGCGATGTAGGTGCACCTGCGTCGCGCAAAGCTGGGAAAAAAAACGGTAAACCATTCTTGGTTTGGCACCAAAATCTTGCGCGACGTACAAAACGTCATGCAAACGTCCTTTGCGCAACAACACTGTACCCGACGAAGACTAGCGTCGCGCAAAACTATTTTGCGTGACGAATGTGCACCTGCGTTGCTCAAAGACGTTTTGCGCGACGCCAGTCTTCGTCACGCAAAGGCCGTTTGCATGACGTTTTGTGTTTAGTGTCATGTAAACATACTTTGCGCGATGAAATTTGCTGCGTCGAGCAAGTTACCGTTGCACAAACATGTTTTTGTACTAGTAAAGGTTGTTGATAGTTCTTTGCATTATGAAAGCTAGTTTTTGGGCCTAAAATATTGGATTTGGACGAATGTGGGTAATTCACAATAGGGCTTAATCCTTGGCCCAGTGATATCCTTTCAGTGTAGATGGTATTCAAATGTTCAGCTTGCGATGGATTTAGGTTAGTCCTAACAAGAGTGGGACTCTTAGAAAGACAAATTGAAATGGTAATCTGGCTAAGTTCTAATTGAAGTGAAATTATACAATATTAGAATGGGTTATAAGGATTATATTATTCTAAGAGTCAAAACTCATTGCTAATAAGATAAAGAATATATTTAAAGCATAAAATGACTAAGTTCAAAGTCCTAGTTCTAGTCCAAGTGGGCAAAACAGTGTGCAGATTTGTTTTGGCTAGTGATAAGATAACATTGATACTATCCAAAGGGATGCTGAGAAAGCATATGTCTAATAGGACTCTATTTCAGCATACTTAGTGATCATGAAATTTATTGCTATAGATAGAAGTGAGTCTGTAGCGTGAAAAATACCTTCAACTCAACACACAAACGCCACGTGCAAATCTTGCTCTATGCGAACCTCTTATACTCTGAGAAATCACTCTCTCCTAGCTTTGTTAATACATCTTCAGTTTGGATTAGAAGCACTGCGTGACAATCGGCGACATTTTTAGTTTGGATTAACAGCACTAGAGTCAAAGAATCAAGCGATCGAGGAGCATTTTCAGTTTGGAGTAACATCATTACTTCAAGTTCGAGCTGATTACCTATCCAAGTCTCTGACGGCGATGAGTCTTTGATCTTCTCATTGAAAGAGGTCATCGCATTAGCCTTCTCGATGAAGTAAGGTGTTAAGAGGTTACTCAGTATTTGGCACATTGAAAGCTGAACCTTATTTGAACTTAACAGTGGCTAGCAGCCTTGTCTTTAGGGTTTAGGCCAAGGTCAAGACATGTTCTTTCCTCGGTCGTGATCGTTCGTACACAGAAGTCAGCGGAGCGTTTGACACCACCACCACATTCATTTTACTTGCTAACCGAGCTCGGTTGCAAGTTGGTATGCTCGCATCCACCAGAAAACATACTTAGCTTTAAGTTACTCGACCTGCGCACCACATAGGCTTGGTAGTTTTTTTAAGCGTCAACAACTAGTTAATATGTGTTTGGGCGTTGTCAAGATTATTTGAGGTTTTTTTTAGCAATTATTTGAGGTTTTTGATTAATTTCTATTTACTTGAAGGAAAAAAGATTAAATTACATGAGTTACTTTCTTTGCATTTTATAATGAATTTCCTTTTGTGTGTAGGTCTGTTAGTGATTGTGACAAGTAATTCCTTGCTGTAAAGGTGGATGGATGTTTGATCACTAATTCACTAGAACATGATTTCTTTGGGTGTAATGTTAGGTGGGAAGTTAGGCTCCTACATTTCCTATAAATACAAGGCTTATGGAAAACACGAAATACACATAAGCCACACGACATAAATTGTAAAGGAAGGAAAAGGAGAGAAAAGAGAGGAAGAAGAGATGAGAGAATAGAAAAAAGAGTTATCTTTGTACTCCTATTATTCTAGATTATTAATGAAAGTACCATTGCTGCCTCGAGAATGTACTCTAATCACATTGATTGTAGAGGAACCTCCTCAGTATTGTGTCTTGTTTCATTTATTCTATTGCACACACATCTTTGATTTTACAACACGTTATCAGCACGACTCTCTAACTTTAACCAGTTCTCATCTCCCTTTGTTGAAAAATGCTTCCTCCAATGATTTTATTGTTCTTCTTCGTGCTCTGCTTCACCTGCTGGATGTACCATCGTCAAGATCTGCCAGCACCGTGCCTACTCCTAGTCCTCAATAAAACAATTACTTACATGTTTAATTTCTTGTTTGGTGTAGCACCTGATTACTAACCCAATATTTATTTATATTAATTTTACTGCGATAAAAGATGGTGCGGTACAATAACCCATCTTGAATTGCAGATTCAATTTTACTGCAAATTTAGGTGGTGCTGTATAATCGCCAACCCTACTCTGCATAT